GAAGTTTTAATAATGCAGATACCCATATTGCATTGTATTTTTTCCTAACGGTGAAGCCCAAGGGTTATGATACACAGTCCTGGAGGCCACAGCCGGTGTGTTGACTCCTTGTCGAGCTTTGACTTTTACAGGGCTGGAAGTCTTCTGCCTTTGGCTCTATCATGAATCTGATTTAAAAACTAGAGGGCAAAGTACTGACAATCATTGCCACTTATTATTATTTATTTTGCTTTTGTCTTCATTGCTTTTGAAGTAGGCTTACATAAAAGTTTGCAATGTTACCATCTTGGAGATCTCTTTTACTCTCTTTTAATGCAGCTTTTGACGATGATCTGGCCTCAATCACGCTGTTGTCAGCGTTTTGTGGCAGATGCAATCTGGACACATCAATATGTCCTCCAGCAGTACAAGTTTTCTATTTTCCCCTATCAATCAATCCAAGCAGCCAGGCAGTCTCCAGTTCCTTTGTAGTGCTGTTCAATCATAAGCCCAGTATTCTGGTTGAACACACACAAATACACGGAGCCTTTGTGGACTTAATTACGCATCATTAGGGCCTGATGCACTGCTTGGGTCTCTTTAGAGCGAGTCACGGCTATTGTGTACTGTGATTTGGCCGAAATGTCAAACTAGATCTCGTGTGGCCTCAAAGGAAAAGGCAAAATAACAAGCAAAAAGAAATAACCTTTTGTGTAAATTGCTACATGCACCTTTCTGCCATCCGGTTGCTAAATCTTAATGAATTGCGGCTCATCAATTCTGCTTCATTTGTTGCTCATCTGTATTCACAGTCAGTTGTCACGTACATGTATGTCAGTTTGGACTGCTGTTGTTGCTGTCGCTGAAGTCTGATGCCTTACATATGCTAATATGCAACAGACTGAATCTGTTGTGCAGCTAAAGCATTATTTTGCTGAACTCGGATGCATTTTATAGCCTGTTACATAAATGCATATGTCTTGATGGACACAACTGATTCACAGTGGAACACGGTAGTGTCTAGTGTCTTGGTGGGTGTTGGATGTGCTCTAACATGTTGTTTGATGGTGCTTATGCAGTCTTGTTATTTCCTAAAACCACCTGTGTTTATAAAATTGATTAAAGTTCAAATTCAAAAGGTCCAGTGTGGAATTTCTGCACAATTAGTGTCGACAAACCAAATTACAAAATGAATGGTTTTTACAAAGAATTTTCCTGTATTCCCAAACTTTTCTGTCTATGTACCCAAAAACCCTACGCTTAAGAGTTGATATTTATCAAGGCAGAAATGACACGTACTGCGTGTCTTTGTGTACTTGTAACATTACATACACAAGCACTGTATGTTATGTTAGTCACTTTGTTTGTTGCTTTGTTAGTTCCTTTGCTCTGTTTCGTTATGTTACGTTAATGACGTACATAACATATAACAAAATGACTAACCTAACAACCGTTATACAATACAATAAAATATAATAAAAAAGTACAGTAACATAAGTAACATAACAAAGATGTTGTGTTGGTCATTATATGTTAGGTTAGGTCAAGTTGTTAGGTTGTGTTAGGTTAGGTTAGTCACTTTGTTTTATGTTATGTTAGCCATTCTATTTAGAGATGCACCGATCGATCGGCCAGGGATTGGAATCGGCCGATTTTCCTCATGGATCTCTGAGAAGTGAGAAAGAGAAGAAGTCTCACTTCTTTCCGATTCCGAGCCGATCCGTTTCGTTACCAGCGGCACAGGCAATAACGTCAGCCGCACATTCTCGCTCTCTTCTCTCCGACGACCCCTTCTCTCTCACACACACGTCTCATTCGCTCCGGTTAAATAGTGCTTGTATTGCGCATTATTTTAGTCATTCCCGCAGGTTTCGCACTTACACCAGAAGCGCGCACCACCACTGATCTATATTAGTGGAGCGCACAGGCCGCACTCAGTCTCAAACAGCTTGTGAGCCACAAATACCAAAATGAGTGGCTAACTGCGCTAAAACGTTCAAATACATACAAAATGATGTCACAATACCCGTCTTGGCGAGTATCCAGTTAAACAGTCAGTTTTGGAACGTTAAATAGTTGAGAAAGAAAACGCATGTTGTGTAACAGTATATTGGGTTGTATATTTGTATATTTACAATGAAGACTACAGAAATTAGAGTAATCAAATGTAAAATAATACTGGATGTGTTATTTTACATTTGATTAATTTCTGTAGTATTTCTTCGGACTTCACTTTGTTTTATGGTACGTTAGTCATTTTAAATTAGGTTAGGTAGTTAGGTTAGTATTTTGTTATATTAGGCTAGTTTGTTTTATTTTATGTTTGGTTAGCAGCTGTTTTATGTTGTTTATCTGTTATATTAGGTTACGTTTGGTTAGTCACTTTGTTTTATGTCATGTTATTTTATTATGTTATGTTAGTCACTGTGTCATATTAGAATATGTTAGGTTAGACAATTTGTTTTGTTATTTTATGTTAGGTTATGTTAGTCACTTTGTTTTTTATGTTATAATGTTAGGTTAGTCACTGATTTATTTTTATTTTTTATTTTTTGACTAACCTTACATAACATGAAGTGGCTAACCAGTGACTAACCTAATATAGAATGTCTAAGAATAACAAACTTGCGATTTTAATATTCGAATTATTTTCCTTTTTGAGTGAAAGAAAACTGCAAAAATTGCACGTTGTTTTGTGTTATTCCCTTTTAATCTAAAATTGTAGGTTAGGTTATGTTGTTCACTTTAAGTTAGTTTAGCCACTTTGTTTTATGTTATGTTAGTCACTTTTAATCTAAAATATTAAGTGAGTTTTATGTTAGTATAAGTTAGTTTATCCATTTCTAATTAAAAACAGTCAATATTGTGAGTGATAAACAGACCCATCAAAGTAGAACATATGTTCTGATACAAGTGTCATCCACACAAATTGCACAAATTGCTTTTTCTTTAATGCAAAAAAAGAAAAGAATTACAAGATTAATCATGATTATTTGTTTTAATCTCTCTTTTTTTTTTTTCAAGTTTAATAGGTTTACAAAACAAAGTCAAGATCTGCGTAGCACCTGAAGTACACATGTCCAGTCTTAGACTGCAGTTACAGCAGAAGGTACAGACAGTAAAAGCCCAACTGTTGAACTCGAGGCCTGTTAGCCCAGACTAGTGCTGTGAATCCAGCAGAGGAACGTGTGGAATGAAACCTTTTAAAGTTTACAGCATCAGACCTTTAGTCTCTTCACCCTGAACTTTTTACTACATTTTTTGAAAATGGAAAAGCTTTTTTCTCAGCCTATTTTTCGCTTATGCTCCCCTCTGTTGCTTCTCTCTCTATCCATATGTTGGCAATCTCCAAGGTCCTTCTTTTTCTCTCTTCCACTCGCTTGTTCCCTCTCTCCCACACCTCACTCGATCATTCTGATTACATCCAAAGGGAGCACCAAGTGTTTCGCAATCAACCTCTCCGATAAAAAAACAAAAACAAAAAAAACCTGTTGTATTTAGAATAGGAGGGGTGTTGTGGGAATCCATTATTGTGAGTGGAGTGTGACTACTCATTCACTGAAAGCCCAATAGGAAACACCAGCAGCCGGTGGAGGAAAATTAGCCCAATCCTTTTGGGCTCTGATATATGGCTCACATCTGGGCTGCCGTCCATTGTTTTCAATTACAACTTTAAGCATGGCCTCCTGCGTGCCAAAAAATGCTCCCCCTCTGTTTTTTTTTCTCCATAACACCCCTTTCGCTCTCTCTCCGACCAATTACACAGTGGACAGGTGTCGTGTAGTGCTAACAGATTGGCCAACCCACCTCTGTCTATTTTTCTCGCCGTGCTTCTGGAGCTCTCAGCATAAGCTCCCCGGTGACAGTCACAACAACACGCTCTTTTTCTTTTTCTTTTTTTTCCCCCCCTCTTTCTCGTTGTCATCTGAGTGACTATAAGACATGAGGGTGAGAAGTTCATCATGCAGTCAGTCATGTCTAATGAACGGTTAGACCCTCTTCCAACACCCGTGATTTTGACAGGGGTTTTGCATGTAATTAGGGAGCAAGAATCGCGAGGTGAATGTAAGTTATAAAAATGCAAGACCCTGCACAGCTTGAAAGCTTTTCAGGTGTTTCTGTATATACTGTACTATACTGTACTGTAAGTTGAATTTGCATTACTAATTTTGACTAATTTTATTATATTACTGTAGGTCTTAATCAAAGTAGATGGCATATTTAAAGACCCCTTGAAATCAGAATGAGAGTTTTAGTTTATAGCTTTCCATTTGTCTGTTTCTTTTCTATTTTATTTTATTTTTAGATATTATTTATTTTATGAATATTTATTCTACACATTTCATTTATTTAACTTACATTTTTATGAATTTCAATGTGCAGAAACTTCTTATTTTCTATTTTACTTTATTTTTGGATTACTTTTGAATTTGGTTATTTAATTTGTAATTCAAAAAAGTGAGAGTTGTGTGGATTTTAGTTTGTTTGTCTCTTATTTTATTTTATGTTAGGATTTATTTTTATTTTTGAATTGCATAGTTTGTTTTGGATTGTTTTATTTTATTTTATTTTATTTTATTTTATTTTTACTTTATTTTTAAATTTCATAATTGTAAATATGTAGAAACTTCTTTCTCAGTGTGGTCAGAGTTGCTTACATGCAGTGCTTTTACCGGGCAAAAGTGAAGCAAGAAAAGTGCAAAAGAAAGTTTGAAATGAATTCTGCAGATTCACGTCTTGTGGACACACTGGATCTCTCTAGTGTGCTTGATACAGTTTCATTTGTGATTCAATTATGATATCAACATCCAGTGTTAATGGATGTTGCAATTTTAGAAAGCAATTTTATTTCTTTATTCTCTATTTGCATTTTAAAAAGACTTTGAATATTCCCCCAAAACTAGTTTCATACTGAACAGTTCTCGATTTGCAATCTTGCAAGATTTACAAGATGAATGAATAATTTATGCATTTCCTGTTTGCTCTCTGAGTTGACTTAACACAAATCTTTGTGTCTTCAGATAACATAAAGCGCAAGTTGCGGCGGCGACCGATTTGGGGGCGGGGCATCATCAGGAAGAAAAAGAGCTATAAAAAAGAGGAAGATGATGAACTGGAAGAGGAGGAAGGAGCGGAAAACTCTGCTGCAGCGGTGCAAGGTGACGCCTGTCTCACCCAGGATGAGTCATCCTGTGATGCCATGGAGCTCCATCCTGACAAGCAACCACTCCAGGCCAACGGACACGTCCTTTCCACGGAGGAGGAGAATTCCTCTGAGCCGACGGCCACTCGGGACCCTCAGGGCGAGAAAGAGCCCATCAAGGCCGACTTGGAGGAGGCTTCCAGCAGTAAGGAGGCCGAGACGGTCCCCGCTCCTCAACAGTGTGTGAATGGAAATGAATCTATGGACAGTGTGTACAGTGAGGCTCTTGATAAAGAAACAGAGGTAGACTCTATTAAAAAATATGCACTTGAGGTGGAGCATAAGGAGCCTTCTGCCCCAGAATGCAATGCAAAGGAGAATGCAACATCAGCGGAGGGGATGGCATCTGATGGCGACCATGAAACAGAAGGTATGGTGTGTTAAGATTTCACAAATACCAAAGTATTAACTAAACATATATTTTCAAGCATTTAAAATGTTAATGCACTCAATTTAGAGATGCAGAACACGGCAATAAGCATAATCATATATAATTCTCTCACGTATTTAAATGTAATTGAATAAATAACTGCCCGAAATAACATTTTAGACTTACCAGATGTGCATAAACATGCAGGACAGATGAATAATTCCTAATATTGATAGTCAACTGTATGGTTAATCACAGTTTGGAGAAAAATGCTCTGTTTTTGGACTTCAAAACACCATCTGTTTGTGAGCGTTTCTCCTGCCGAGAGTTAAATACACCAACAGAAACACCCTGCGGACTCGTCTCTTTGTGCTTGTCCTTCACCAGGTGTTGTCCGTTTCTAGTGTGATGCGTGCGCAGGTTTGTTTTTTCCATAGTGTGACTTTGCTTAATTTTAAAAGGTTCATCAAAAGGGAAGCACAAGTCAAACGAGTCGGCCGTCGGACTCGAGGAGACTGTGGAACTTCCGCCACCTCCGGCTCTCGTGGTTGACCACCAGCGGCTCAAGGTGAGATGAATATTATTATTCCTAAGAACTAAAATGTGTTTAATACTTTTTTCATGAAATTATAATCCAATGAAAATTATAATATATTTCCACCTGAAACCAGTATCATAACCCACATCAAACTTTGGAAGTTGATGCGTTGGAAATGCGTTTTTCTGCTGTTTGTGATTATCTTTAATAATTGTTCAGAAGTAGCATACATCCATAAGCACATCCCATAAGCTCTCTGCGCACATTAGCGTACTGTAGCTGTGCTGTAATATACCGATCTCAGAAGGAGGGAAATCACTCCAATCATCAAGTCATTTTGGAAGGAAACTCATCAGTGTGGAGGCTGCTTCATCATCATCATCATTAGGCTGTTTAGGCCATTTTTGGAGGTATTCATTCACTCTCATTCACTGAGTCATTCATTTCCATTTAATTATTTGCTATCGAGTTCATCAAATTAGGGAGGCAATCATCGATTTTGTTTCTCCTCTTACGAGCACATTTGAGCTTTAGTTCCACTCTAGATAGCACCAGTGCTTTTTTAACAAGGTCATCTTCTTCAAAAGGGTGTTTATAGAAGGGAAAACTAGTTTGCATACTACATACTGCACTTCTACACTGTATACAGCCTATTTATTTATTTATTTATAATAGCTATTATTTATGGAACCTTGTTTCCATCACTTAATAAAAAAGGTAATTGTAACTTTTTATCTCACTATTCAGATTTTTTTTCTCAGAATCGTGTGATATCAACTTGCAATTGTGAGACAAAAAGTCAAAATTGTGAGTTTATATCTTGCAATTCATAGAAAAAAGTCAGATTTGCAGCATTCTGAGTTTATTTCTCACAATTCTGATTTATATCTTTTTATATCTTTGAGTTTATATCTATATTAAAAATCAGAATTGAGGGAAAAAAGTCATAGTTGTGAGAAGTTACAATTATCTTTTTTTATTTTTTTATCCCGTTTTTTATTAGATTTTTTTATCTATTTTGAAATGGTATATGAAACATATTAATAATAATGATGTATTTTTATGTATTGTTATAATTACTGTATATTTTTAATTGGTATATGAAACAGTATCTTAAAGGGGTGGTTCATTGCGATTTCACTTTTTTAACGTTAGTTAGTGTGTAATGTTGCTGTTTGAGCATAAACAATATCTGCAAAGTTACTAAGCTGAAAGTTCAATGCAAACGGAGATATCGTCTTTTAAAATTCTGGCAGTTTAATGCCTACAAAAACGGCTGGTAGGGACTACAACAAGTTACTTCCCGGGTTCGTGACATAACAAACCCAGATAAACCCCGCCCTCGGGAAAAGGCAGCAAAGGGGGCGAGGCCATGCTGCGCTGCTTTAGAGAAGGGGAAGAGAAAACTAGAGGTGCGCGTAAAAATCTATTCATATATGAATCGCGATTCTGTCTTCTAATGATTCCACATGTTAGACTGCACCCCATAAACACAATCAAGCCTAGAAAAATACCAGTGAACCACCCCTTTAAGCTACATACTCTCTATCATTCAGTATGCTTTAGTTTTTATTCATTCAGTGAGTTGTATTAGGGCTGCACAATTAATCGAAATTAAATCGCAAAGGCGATGAATGTTGAGAGATTCAAACAAAAAGTAATAAAAAATAGAACAAAATAAAAAATAAAGCCTGCAAGTGACGTCGCTAGCGGAAGCGCAAGTGTCTGAGAATGCAAGTCTGAGAATACAAGTCTGAGAGTGCAAGTGCGAGGCTGCAGCCAGACCCTTCTCAGAAATCCAGGAAATGCCAATCGCAGCTGAATCAATTGAAGATTTAACTGCTTTCATTGATTCAACATGACTAATAAACACACGACTACGGCAATATATGGTTTATCTGAGTTTATAATGAAATGCTAATCGACATAGCCTACATCATCTCACAGAAGGATTTATTTCAAACACTCGACTCACGTTATGAAGTGAGTTTGGAGTAAAAACATGTTATTAAATGTGGTATGTTCACGTGCTCTCAGATGGAGCAGCATTAACTACACAGAGCCCTAGTTCACTGAGAAGATACGCAAACAGATATCATTATCGTGAACGATTTTGTCGATTTCATAATCCTACGATTATATCGTCTGCGATTATGAACGCCATTTTGCGTAGCTTGTCAGAGAACTACGGCTCTGTGTAGTAAATGCTGCTCCACCTGAAAGCAGGTGATGGAGATTTACTACTAATCACAGAACTGGCTTTACTGACAAAATGTGCATGACAATCGCGATTAATCGCGTTCGATTAATCGTGCAGCCCTAAGTTGTATTTAATTTTCCGATGAGAAATAAATAATGCAATAATTCAAAACTAAATATTATCCCATTTATTTTACTCTAAATTATCTAAATTACTTTTTCCAGTCCGATCAAATAATGAATATAAATTATTTTTAAAAATCATAGTTAATATTATTAATATTATGACACTTAAAATGGAAGATGGAGTCACATTGCATTTTGGGATACAGTACTCCTTTAAGTGTGCTTGTGTTATATAGTATGCAGTTTTGCAAATGTAGTATGCTATTTCTAGTAGACGTAGTAAAGTAGTATGGCATTCGAAACACGGCCTTAATTTGACTTCATATGCTGCACATCCTGTTTGCTAACTAGCGAGTGAAATGTGTGAGACTTACACTTTCAAAACAGCAAATGGCAGGCGTGCTGAGTTTTCTTCTCACCAGCACCAAAGTACCAACTGTAGTGCTCAGACTGATGATAGCAGCATCTGAAGAAGAGACGACCCAGTCAGCTCTATTTCATGACAACACGTGACACACCCCACCGCCACATCATCTATCACACCATCATCATTGGAAACCCTCTCCCTGAGGACTCCTTACCCGGCTTGCCGGCCGCTGGGCTGTGCGAAGCGATGGGGTGCACGTGTGGCACTAATCCGCCGGCTTATTTGTTCATTTACCGAGAAAAGGCTGATATCTTTAAGAAACAGATCGTGAAGTGACGGATGCTGTGAATAATTGCTTTTTCATCCCTGGCTTATGGAACAAATTGAATTGCCGTTGAAGTGGGGTGAGAGTTGCCATTTAAGTGGGTATCTCCTGTTTGGGGTGGCAAAATGCCTGACACATTAGAAATGAAAAGTGGGCTGTTTTCCTGTGCTTCATTCATATTCATTGACTGGAGATGCGCTCATTACTATTGACATTTTTGCAGCGCAGCACGGCCCTCAAATAGATTTGGAATTAAAGGGCCGTCACAGGAAACTATGAGCTTCATCTTGCCAGTGTTGGGGGTAACGCATTACAAGTAACGCTTACGTAATCAGATTACTTTTTTCAAGTAACTAGTAAAGTTAATTTACAAGAGAATATCTGAGTTACTTTTTCAAATAAGTAACGCAAGTTACTTTTTTTTTCTCCAATTTATTGATTGACAGCTCTCCTGTCCCCATGTTGAGAGAAATCAGAAGATGTTACTGTAGTTCTAAAACAAATATGAATATGCATTAATTCATCTCACTCACAACAAAAAACAGATTCAGTATTCCTCAAAATGAATAAAAATAATGCAACTCAGAATATGACGCAAACCTGCAATAATTAAATGTTAAACAACAC